CTACTCCGCTCCTAGAATATTCCTGGAATATCTTGCAACAAAATCTGAAGCTCTCGACGTTGACCTCTCTGAGGGGCTGTAAACACCTGTTAAGTTCATGGCAAAAACTAATGCAGACATGTTTCTGTTTTTAGTATTTTATATGGCTTTATAATGTAGCTGCTTTGGTTCAATTTTTTCACATTTCTTCCATCTGCTTTTCGTTTGATCATTTTTTATGATTGTCTAATGTCGTCATCTGTGTTTTGTTTAAATCAGGTCTCGCTTGTAAATGAGTCCTTGAGGCTCACTGAGACTAACCTGTATAAATAAAGGTTGAATGAATGAATGAACATTTCTGGAAGCTCCCTTCTGAATGGGACATGGACGTTTTACTTGTGATTCATGAACCGTTTCGAGTTGTGTTCACTTACATCGCCACATTACAGACAGTCGGACAGTGCCAGTGACAGCAGTGTATGATAAAAGTTAGTGCTTTAGCGTTAGCTTCGGATAATTTTTATCCGTTTAAATGTTTAGCGATAGCAAAACTAATTTTTTAGTCACCAAATTAGTGTTTGGCGAAGCTAACTTTTTGACTAGCTGTGCCCACCACTGGTAATGATTTAAACTAGATCTGTAGTCAGTCAATAACACACACACACACACACAACTCAGAAATTACATATAAAGGGTTGCATAACTGTATTGGGAAAAACGTATATTTATTATTATTTAACTGTTATATAGTCGACACTTAGAAAACGCTCACCACATGCCCGTAGATACTTTGAAGGATGAAACTAGTCTCTACTGATATTGACTGACCATCTTCTCAATAAGTCAGCTTTGTGGAAAGGAAACACACGTCAAATATATATTTTCTGCTATGTAAATATTACATAAATCAGAGGTAATACAAGGTTGTACTATATAATAATTTGTGCTAAATTGTAGCATGACTCAGCACAGTGCTACACATGCATGCCACAGAAGCTAATATCTACTAGCCAATTCAATAAACAGTGATTACATCAACATTATAGGCTCATTTTAAGCAGTTACATTTTTATCTTCAGTTATGTTTGAATCACATTAACATTGATGTCAATACAAAGATCAAATATGCTGACTTGTGAAATGCGACATTTTCCTTCTCTTTGGTTGGTCCAACCGTAGCACCGCAGCTTTGTGGCATTTTTACATACATCACAAAACTTATATAATGTATGTTACAGCTCAGGGAACTCATTTGTACGAGTCAAGACTCAGGATTGCAAAAGATAATTGTTATTTACAGTGATAAGAGTTACAGTTGGTCCTCTGGAGCTCCTGGGGAGGAAGGAGATGGTCAGGTGGATTTGACCGTTTGGTTCAAGTGGAATATTAATCTGGTAAATGTTTCTCCTACAGGTTGGAGGAGGTGCAAAGGCACAGAATGGATCCAAGGGGAGCTCCAGGGATGAGAGGCCAGGTTTGTCAGGCAGGACTGGGGAGGCAAGGCACAAGGAGGCGAAGGACTGGACCGGGACCAAGGAGGCAGGATGACTAGAAAGAAGAGAAGCAAAGTAAGTAGATGTACATTCAGTAAATATACAGGTCAGAGGTATAAATACCATTAAGGGTTGATGCTCCAGCGAACAGTAGCACTTAACTGCAGTCTTAAGTAGGAACTGATCCTCATCATGTGGATGGCCGACAGTTTGAGATAATTAGTGGCCATATTGGAGAGGGCAACTGCAGACAGTGGTACTCTTAATATAAATACTGTACAGTATTAATATTATCGTTAAGATCTATGACTTTCACCTGCTCGCGGCGCTACATGGAAGACGCATCAGGTACCACTACGTGGCCATCAGGGAGGTGTAACACTCATTATTGACTTGAATAAGATTCATATCTGGCTGCAACTACCATACCCATCACTGCACCCTGTATTCACTGGTTAATTGGTCATCAATAACTTTACACAGACTCACACTGGTACATTTTCATCTTTAAACCACTTTTTCTGTTGCCTTAATACATCTCCTCCTAAATGTCACTTTGTCATTGCAGCTACAGCGTGCACGCTCAAGACATAATCACCTGCAGTGCACCCTCAGTGCGGACCGAACTTGGCAAAAAGTTCAGGTTTGGTCTATTTGTCATGCAAAATCAACACAAGGTCAACAATGCAATGGAAATACTTAGGACGAGAAGAACCGCCTCGACTCGCAAAAAAAAAACACAACAACAACAACAAAGCATGCAGCAAACATACTAACACTAGTGGCCTTCACTTACTCTGCTCCTGTAACCTGGAATTCCGTGTGGCAAGCTTGGGTGTATGGATGTTTGTTTTTTTGTTTGTTTTTTTTAATTACTTACTGCAACGCCACCCTAGGACTTTCACCCAAGGAAATAATTCATTCACAAAAAGGTACTTAGGTTTGTTTACGAGTAAGCAGGAGACTGTGTTCCAAGATGAAATGTAAATTTTATTAACACTAGTTAAAAACAAATTTTCATGGAGGCAGTAGTGATCCTTAAAACAAACGTTCAGCCCAAGGCTGAGGCTTTCTGGTGGTCAGTCAACTAAAAAAGACAAAAAGAATGCTTCTAGGCAACACAAGAACAGAAATTCACCCACAAGCTGTGATGCACAACACACGAGTGGAAGGGAACCAACACCAAGCTGGACTGCCACCTTCAGCCTTCAACCTGGAACATAAATTTGAAATCAAGTAAACAGAAATTTGAATATTTAAGAGTTGCAAACAAACAAAAAAACAAGGGGCTTGCATACATACAAAAAAAGCTGAAAATGGCCCCAGTATTTAGTTCAGTTAGCCAATCTTCTCTCAGGTAAGACGCTGCCTAATTATGGTGATTCAAACCAGCTGTGAGAGTCCACAAAGGCAGACCTGAGCAGAATGAGGACAGCTGGGATCAAATTGAAGCAGATGAACCAGAGCTACTGGCGTGGCGTCACTTCTGCAACACAAATATCATTATAATGACATTCTTTAAAATTGAATGGCAGAACAAACAGTGTACATACCACTTCTGCTGATCACCGAGGAGAGGTGAAAGCCACGCCCTCTGCGACAGGTGACTCACATGCCAGTCACTACCGCATGAACAAACAAATTAATCAGCATAAAAACAAAATTGTAACCAGCCAGTGCAAAAGGTGAAATGCACGTACCGCCCAGGAGGAAAGCAAACAATTCTGTGTCACTCTTTAGTGGACACCACACCGAGCACTAGCTGTCAAAATAAAAATCGGTTACCCACCAGGTCTAGACCGGCCAGCTTCAAGTGAAACAGGCAATACATACACAGGTAGTGCTGATCAGCTGCACACAGCAGCACCAGGTAACCAGGAAGTCAGTAATATCAAAGAGAGAGAAACAGCTGCTTATATAATGCACCCTCTCTTACAACTGGCCAGCCAATTTACACTGCTGTATCCAGCATTAAGAGCAGGGGCTATCATACTGCTACACTTGCAAAAAATCTGAAGTTGTCAACTTTGACCTCTCTAATAAGGGATTTTAAACATGTGTTATGTTTATGGAAAAAAAACAACACCGACATGTTCCTGTTTTTAGTATTTTACATCGCTTTATAATGTAGCTGTTTTTGTTTCGTTTTTTTATATCATTCCTTTAATTTACTTTTCATTTTCTATGCTTTTTATATGATTTGTCTATTGTTCTGTACCTCATCTGTGTTCTTTGTTTAAAGCAGGTCTCTCTTGTTAACGAGTCCTCGGGGCTCAGTGAGACTAACCTGTATAAATTCATTCAACCTTTATTTATGCACCATGTTGGATGCTGTCTATCATGGTGCACTAAGATTCATAACTGGCTGTGATTATCGTACCCACCATTGCACCCTGTATTCACTGGTTAACTGGACATCATTAACTTCACGCAGACTCTCTCACTGGTATATTTTCATCTTTAAATCACTTCTTGGTCTGCTGCCTTCATACATCTCCTCCTACATGTCTCTGCGTGAGTGCAGCTACGGAGTGCGCTCTCAGGACATTATTACCTGCAGTGTTCCCTCAATGAGGACTGAACTAGGCAAAAGGGCCTTCTCCTACTCCGCTCCTGTTTCCTGGAATATCTTACAAAAAGATTTGAAGCTCTCGACCTTGACCTCTCTAAGTGTCTTTAAGAATCTGTTGGGCACCTGGCAGGGTCCAATGCTGACATGTTCCTGTTTTTAGTTTTCTACATTTGTCTTGGAATCTAGCTGGTTTTTTTTTGTTTGTTTGTTTTTTTTTGTTGTTGTTGTTTTGTTATCTTTTCCTTTTAGCCATCCTATTTGTTAAAAAAACAAAACTAAAAAAACAACAACTGCAGAATGACTTTTTATAACTGTTTATTGTTGTTGCTGTTGTCCATTGTTGTCATCTTTCTTTGTTGAAATCAGGTCTCTCTTGTAAACGAGTCGTCGGGGCTCAGTGAGACTAACCTGTATAAATTCATTCAACCTTTATTTATACAGGTTAATCCCATTGAGCCTCGGGGACTCATTTACGAGACCTGATTTTAAGAAAGAATGATGACAACAGTGGATAACAATGACAACAATAGGCAATCATAAAAGAGGCATACAATTTTTTTTATATAAATAAAGGTTGAGTCAATATTATAATTAAAAATATTACATAATCATCCTTTACTGTTGGTTGTTTTGCAATGATAAGTCCACACTTGCCCTCTTTGGTTATGGCTCCCATCCATCCAGTGAGTCACGTCACGTGATCAACGCGCCCTCTAGTGGTCTTATTTAACTATGACTTTGACCAGCCTGCGGCTCTACATGGATGGCACGTCAGGGGCCGCTAAGTGACTTTAAGGACGGCGAAACACTCATTATTCGCTTGAAAGTGTTTTAAACTGGACATTAAGTCGTTTACAATCAACTTTATGTCGCTTAGAGTCGTTACTTCATTGATAAAACCGACCCCAGAAGATCCGCCCCCAGGTGGGCGGAGCCTAACAGCGGGTGGAGATCACTCCGCCTGACGGCCGAACCGCTGTTATTGTTCAGCTCCTCCGCTGTGGGTCTGCTGCTCCACATCCAGACGAATAAGGAGCTCAAATACCTCTCTGAAACTGTCCAGGTGAGAGTTCAACAGCCGTAGCTGTGATGTATTTTCTCTCCGCACTTCCGCTTTGTTCCAACGGTCTCGTCGGAGAGGCGAAGGAAACCTTGCTAGCTGAAAGAAACTAACTTCAAACTACTCCCGAATGACTTAACCGTTTAACGCTCGATATATGAGGCACTAACGTTTGGATAACCTGCACAGCTTATATATAATAATAATAATAAAGCTCCGTTATGAAGCGAGGCGTGAACCGGATGTGCCTACTGTATATGTTAATGTGGTGGCTTCATATTTCTGCCTGCTTTGTGTGGATAAACAAAGACCTGCTCAGAAAATGTGGGTCATACTGCAGCACAGTAGATCACAAGTACCAAGTATTGTAATGTAATTACTCTTGATAAAATGTGTTAAAACTTCTGCACAAAAGAGTGAAATGGGAAGTATTTCTGTAAAAACTTTTAAGCAATATCTTCACTCAATATAAACATGCTCCTGTGGAGAAAACTGCAAATATTTATGCAACAGATCAAGCCTGAATAAATGTAAAATATTGTCTAAATATCACATAAATCCTATCAGCAGAGTAAAAGGAACTTAATTAAATAGGTAGGTTAATATACATAATACCGTACTTACTTGAGCATAATAAGTTATTATTACATAATAATGAGCAATAAAGTTATCTAAAAATGTCTTCTTGGTATTTAGCATGGCAGTCTTCAGTCATGCAAGTGAGAACAGATCAAATTGTTCCTCTATAAATAATAACAGCTTTTACTCTGGGAAACTAAATGTCCTCCCTTTTCTGCTCAAGTCTGAACTCAAGATTAAAGTTAGAGCTATAATTTGGAAAGATTAGCTTTCAGATCAAGGGTTGTCATCTGAGCTTTTTGTTTTTTTACAAGTCACACAGGAATAATCAAATCCATTGTTTCATCAATAAGGACAAAAGAACTGTGTCCAACCACAAAACTATGTCATGTGTTACAGGTCTATTCATATTTTCTGCACACATCGTTTGTCCTTTAAAGTAAGCAGTTTTATTTTACCACAGAAGCACCGCAGACCTTTTTCTTTGCAAAGAACGAACACGGTTGCTGTTTGGCGTTATTCTGTAGGAACCTTTAACACAGAGAGCTTTTGGTTGCCCTATGTTCCTGTGTGACCTTACAGATTACACACTGAGCCACTTGAGTTAACCTTTTGTCAAGAGACAATTAAAAACAGCCTTGGACTTATTTCATTTGTACATGCTTGTTCTCACTGTTAATGCTTAACATCTTTACATGTCCTTTTAGACATTATTTAGGCAGAAATGTAGATATTGTCAAAGGAATATAAAAAAGCACAGTCACTCTGTGTGTGTAATGTGCACAGAAACAATAGTATTTAGTCTCTATTATAGTGTGAGCGCTTATGAAGCATTCACACTATTGATCCATTTTTCTTCCGTACGTTTTTCAGCATCTGTCTCGTTCCACAATTTTTGTGCTACTTCATCAAATCAAATATCAAAACATTCAGCTCTTTCAGGACAATCCTGCTATGACTTTTGGTATTTGTGCAACTTTAACTTTTTGAAATATTTAGCCTTTTCTGCCATTTTTATTCTCAGAGAAAATGAACTGAGCTCATTTTACATCCTTCAAATCTTTAGATCTGTTTTTAACATTTTTCTGCTTCTTTCACATTTTGTTCTGGTTCAGCTCCCTTTTACAAATTTAAACTTTTTTTAATCTATTTTCAGCTGTTTTTTCAGTTCTTTTGTGCTCCATTCAGATTCTTTCAGCTAACTAAAACATTTTTGTGCTTCTTCTAACTTCTTTCTGCTAATTTCAGCTTCTGCAAGTTTCATTTTTTTTTTTTTTTTTTTTACTATTTCAGCTACTTTATACGTTTTTATGCCAGTCAAAACTTTTTTAGCTAATTCCACATTTTTGGCACTCATTTTAACTTTTTTCAACCTAATTCAGCAAAAAATGTGCTCTCTCTCTCTCCACTTTCTTCTTGGAATTTCAGCTTCTTTCTGCTTTTGTAGCTACTTTTCAGCTGTTTATTTGGCTCATTTCTGCTTTTTTCAGATAATTTCCACTTTTTGTGCCAAATTCTGTTTCTTTCAGCCTAATTGGGCAAACATGTTCTTTCTGCTTTTTTTTTTTTGCTAATATAAGCTTGTTCTACCCTTTCAGCTACCTTTTTTTTTAGTATTTATTTAGCTAGTTTTAGCTGAAAGTCAACTAAATTCAAGTTTTTCTTTGTAATTTCTGCTACTTTCAGCCTAATTAACTTCTTTGTGTTAATTTCAGCATGCTATGCTCCTTTCAGTTTTATTCTGCTAGTTTCAGCATTTTCTGCTATTTCAGCTACTATTTAGCTGTTTTATGCTAAATTTATCTTTTTCAGCTAATTCCACATTTTTTTTGCTATTTTCAGCTCCGTCCACTTCCTTCTGGTAGTTTAAGCTTCTTTCTGACTTTTCAGCTACTTTTCAACATTTTTTTTTTACTAATTTCAGGTTGTTGTTGTTTTTTGATAATTTCTTAAATTGTATGCTCATTTCTGCTTATTTAAACTTAATTCAGCAAAAATGTGTTCTTTCTGCTTTCTTCTGCTAATTTATACCCGTTCTTCCATTTAAGCTACATTTCAGCATGTTTGTAGCTCATTTCAGCTGGTTTTCAGCAAGTTCTTCAGCAATAAGCATTTACACTGCAATTTGGTAGGAAATGCAATTTCTCTAGTTACAATATTTTTTTTTAAATCATTTGTGCTTGTTGCTGTTGTGTTGCAGTTCTTATCTATAATGGACGTTTACATTATTTGATTTTCTCTGCAGAAATGCACTTAAAGAAATCTTGTTTCACATCAAAAAGCTAGTTTGTTCTCGTTTTAAACCCTCGTTATAGAAGTATCTGTGACATTTCAGCGTTTGGGCTAATTGTCCTTTCTCTGCAGATTGACTGTGTCTTTCACTGCAAATAATAAACCACACAAGACAACTCTTACAGAGGTTTTTTTTTTTGTATTTTCAAGTGTTGATATGTTTGTGCTCACATATTTCCACCACTCACAATCATCAATCCCAACAGATTTGCTTGAGTGATGATAAAGAAACTTAAGTGAGAAATTTGCTCAACAGCATCCATGCTGTCACATCCTTCAGAAACAGGATTTTCTGATGAGCTACCGGTAGCTATTTATTACAGCTAGAGTGAATTGTCAAGTGTTCACTAAAACAATGTAATTTCTTAAAATAGCAAAACGGTCGACTCTTTAGTTAGAAACTAAAGGATCTTGTTTTTGTCTTTGGTTTGCAGGATGTCTCGAGAGCAGCAGGCAGTGGCTCGAGCCAGGAAAGCCTTTGAAACAGGCAGGTCCAAAAATCTGGAGTACCGGATCCTCCAGCTGAAGAACCTGCAGCGTTTATTCTCAGAGAGGCAGAAAGAGATTTCAGATGCGATCAACAAAGACCTGAAGAGGGTGAGTTATAACACTAAAATACAAGTGGCATCAAAAATGGATTCTTCTCACAGTCAAAAGAACAAATATCCTCTCAAAATATTTCATCACTAAGTATTCAAAGCTTTTCCTTTTGTTGAGTTTTGTACTATTTTACCCCTAAATTAAACTCAACACGATTGTGGAAACCAAAAAAAATAAAAGGCAGACGAGTTTCTTCTGACTTTATTCCAACCTTAATATGGATGATTTTTAAGTTATAAACAGGCAAAAAGAAACATATACTTAAAAATATAAGTTTGAACAAACTTTTGCTGATAAAATATACTTGTAAATACAGTTATAGTCACTGATTTGAACAAAGCAGCCAGTTTATTGTGTGAACGTTTATGAAGCATTCACACAATCCCCCCCCCCCCCCCCCACACACACACACAAAAAAAAGATTAAAAACAAATCAGCTGAACTTTATTTGTAACTGAAGATGTTTCGCTTCTCATCTGAGGAGCATTCACACTATTGTGATCCATTTTTCTTTCGTACGTTTTTCGGCATCTTTTTTATTCCACAATTTTTGTGCTATTTCAACAAGTCATATATCAAAACGTTCAGCTCTTTCAGGACAATCTTGCTATGATTTCTGGTATTGGTGCAACTTTAGCTTTTTGAAATATTTAGCCTTTCCTTCCACTTTTTATTTCCTCATATAAAATGAATTGAGCTCATTTTACATCCTTCATATCTTTAGATCTGTTTACAACCTTTTACTTCTCCTTTCACATTTTGTTCTGGTTCAGCTTCTTTCAGCTCCCTTGTGCAAATCTTATCTTTTTTCAGCTAATTTCAGCTGTTTTTTTCCAGCTGTTTTGTGATCCTTTTAGATTCTTTCTGCTAACTACAACATTTTTGTGCTTCTTCTAACTTCTTTCTGCTAATTTCAGCTTGTTTCACTCATTTCTGCTTATTTATGCAAGTTTCAGCTTTTTCTGCTATTGTAGCTACTATTTAGCTGTTTTTATTCTAACTTTTTAGCTTTTTTTTGGCTAATTCTACAATTTTTGCCCTCATTTCTCGTCTCCCCCATCTGCAGATTGTCTACGTAAATGTGTGCTTGTTTGTGCGAGGTGTTTTGTTTTTTTTTATTATTAGAGGGGTTTTTTTCTCAGGCAGGAAAAAAATGTCTGAGGAATTTTTTTCGCCTCCAGCTCCTACATGTGTCCAGTTAACCTCTGTTTTTGTCTGTCCAAACAGGTCTCACTTGTAAATGAGTCTTTGGGGCTCAATGTGATTTATCTGTACTAATAAAGGTTGAATGAAAAAAAAAAACTTTTTTCAGCCTAATTCAGCAAAAATGTGCTCTCTCCACTTCCTTTTCAGCCAACTTCTGTTAATTTAAGTTTCTTTCTGCCTTTTTAGCTACTTTTCAGCTGTTTTTTATTTTTTCTAATTTCAGCTTTTCCAAGATCATTTCTACTCTTTTACGCTAATTTCTGCTTCTTTCAACAAATCTATTCATTCTGCTTTCTTCTGCTAATTTAAACTTGTTCTACATTTTCAGCTACATTTTTAGCATTCTAAGCTATTTTCAGCAGTTTTCAGAGCAATAAAATTTTTTGTAGTAATTTCTGCTACTTTTGGTGTAACTAACTTCTCTTTGCTAATTTCAGCTTGTTATGCACCTTTCAGCTTTTTTTCTGCTAGTTCATCTACTATTTAGCTGTTTTATGCTAAATTTAACTTTTTCAGCTAATTCTACATTTTTTGTGCTCATTTCAGCTTATACCACTTTCTTCTGGTAGTTTGAGCTTCTTTCTACCTTTTCAGCTACTTTTCAGTTAATTTGAGCTAATTACTGTCACGTTGGGCCGTCAGGTGTGTTTGAACCCACGTGCAGGAGGATGACGAGGACGCTCGAGGAATAACAATATTTATTAAACAAAACAAAATCAAAACGCTGACAGGGCAGCTACTCACAGATTAATCGGACGGACGGACGGACGGAATGGAAGGCTGAACACAACACCATAGAAGGACAATCCGGAGACAAAGACAAAACAGAAGAGAGCTGAATATACACACACTCTGATTAGGACAATGACAGACACCTGAGGTGATTAACATGAGACACAGGTGAGACAGGTGAGACAGGGGCTGAACACAGGGAGGGAAAACACAGAGAGCTGAATCAGGAAACGAGGAAACGGACAGAGACAGGACAAAAACCCAGAAACCCCACAATTTCATCTTTTTTTAGCTAATTTCAAGTGTTTTTCAACAAGTTCTTCAGCAATAAGCCTTCGCACTGCATTTTCGCAGGAAATGCAATTTCTCTAAACTTTTGGATGGATCTGTGTTGAAACACTTGTTCTGCCATCCACAATCTCTCTTTAACTATACTCCCCCTGAAGTATCAAAGATTCTCCTTCTGAGGTGTTTGGTTCTCTTTTTCAAGTTCTTTTCAATTCTCTGCTAATTTTACATGACAAGTTTAATGAGAACAGCACAAACATGATATTAGGCAAATAAATTCCTTAACACAACTAAACTTTTGACGGTAAAGACAGGTTTATTATTGTTTCCGTCAAGAACTCACTGTCAGTGTCTGCCATCACTGGATATTTAGGACTTCTGCGTAAACTGACAGGAAATGTGTTGTCTTCTCCCAGAGTGAAGTGGGAATGCAGATGTTTGAGACACTGGGTCTGGAGGGAGAGATTGCCCTGACCATCAAGAAACTGAAGGAATGGGCGGCCCCCCGGGCCGTGGAGAAGAACCTGATGACCCTCTCAGACACCGTTTACATCCATCCAGAGCCGCTGGGGGTGGTGCTGATCATCGGGGCCTGGAACTACCCCTGGGCGGTCACCATCCAGCCGCTCATTGGAGCCATTGCAGCAGGTACTGTGCACGCTTTATCTGTGGGGAGGGTCAAAGGGCGCGGAGTGACGCAGCAAGGTTCAAGTTCATGGCTGGTTGTCGTATCTTTTCCACGTCTCAGATCTGTGGTGCAAGGCGTGTACTTTTACTTCACTGAGCTCCATTTAGGGAGTTTAGCAGATATACTTTGGTAGGAGGAGTGGTGGTGCAGAGGTTAGAGAAGTTGGGCCTGTGATTGGAAGGTCACCGGTTTGACTCCCCAGACCGACAGCATCAAAATGTGGGTGTCATATTCCAAGTCTTGCGAGATAGTTCGCTGTGGCGACCCCTGAGGAAGGAAGCAGCCGAAAGAAGAAGAAGAAGAAAAAAGCATATATATAAAAATATAAATATATTTTATATCTTTATTAAATATTTATCATTTACAACACAAGTTACAAAATTCATTTTACATGTCAAGTTACAATCCAAACCCTCCTTCCTCCGTGGCTTTAGTTTCCACCTTTTAGGCAACATTATGTCATTTTTGCTATTTACTGTTTAATGTAATTTTCAAAGGACTACGGTCAGAGAGTATTCTAAGTACCGTATTTTCTGCCGTAAACGTCGCATCAGTCCAAATCTATCTAATAAAGTGGGAAAATCCATAAATATGTCGCTTCGCTGTATACAACGCATCTATTATACATCACTGTTGACGCGTCACTTTTGTTACGCGTCACCACTGACAACCTGGAAATGTGGGGCGATGTTGTGCCAAAAATCGATTGGCTTCCAAATGGTGGCCACGGGAGTGTGCACAGGAGGACTTTTAACAACAATTTAACAAGATTAACGCTTACAATTATTTGTTTGCTCGAAATTATAGTAAATGTGTGTCTCAATCTAACTTTTCCTTAATGAATGCACTTTGACGGTCAAATCAGCTGCATTTTCAAAAGCCTATATGTGGAAACATGAGTGCGCAGAGAGCGCTTCGCTGTCCATTTCTTTGAAATTTAACAAGATAAGCACCTAAGAACAATTATTTGTTTGCGCAACTTTATAGCAAAGGTGTATCTCAATTGAACTTTTACTTAATAAATACACTTCAGTGGTCAAATCAGCTGCATTTCGCCGGGGTGATGCAGCGCAATGAAGCTGATTTGACGGTTGCTCCAGATAGGCAGTGGCAGACTATGGCAAGCCGATTGTGTCATTAATATCCACTTTCACGTATTACATGATACAGCAGCATGCCATACTGCTCAACTGCCATCTAGCAGCTGAAAATGATAGTGTTCAATATTTTCAGTCAGAATGAATGAAAACGGTCATATCTCAGCCAAAAATTGGTTTATAAATATGGGGAAAAAATCCATAAATATGTCGTTTTGGCGTATAAGTCACTGGGCATACAAATTATGCAAAAAAACTGTGGCTTATATGGCGAATGATATGGTAAGTATGTTCATTGCAGCTGTTACTGTAGCTCGCTGTACCTGTGGGGAGGGTCAAAGGGCACAGAGTGGTGCACCAACATTAAAAATCATGTCTGGTTTTGGTATCTTTGGTATCTTACTTAAGTGCGCTCCATTGAGGGAGTTTTGCAGATATACTTTTGTGAATTTTTAACAAACATAAAAATGTCGCAGCAGCTGTAAAATTCTCGTCTCTGATTCTTCAATCGTTTTTCAGGCCGATTACGCTCTTTCATCTCACGATCAGAACGGCTCTGGTTCCTCTTTTTGTCCAGCAGGGCCACATGATCTTCCAGATTGACATTAGTGGGTCAGAGGTCATGCTCTGACCTCTCTATTAGAGCAGAGTTTTAAAGGAAAACACCACAGTCACAATGAAAATGGCTCTCTCTGTAAGACGAGTGTATTATTGCGTCGTGAAGCCAGTGTTTGTGAGCAGGTGAGCACCAGTTGTATCAAATCATTCAGCTGCAGAGTAATTATTGAATTCAGTTTCTTAAAGCTTCTCTGTGGTTTTAGTGTTGAAGCTCAGCTCTGATTTCTTCATTAAAAACCTCAGTCTGCAATAATCTCACTTCTGCTACACATGAATCAGTATTCTTAACTCGCATTGCGTTGCTCCTCTGCAGAGATAGTTTTGTTACATAATCGTGCTATGTAGCTGCTCTTCTGTAATCATTTGGTTAAATCCTGCTCAGAGCCAGAGGAATGAGCAGATCATGAAGCAAGTGTTTGCACACGTTGGACTTTGTGCGCTGCACGTATCGGACACATGCTTGTGTCAGAAGTCTCTGATAAAATGTTGCATAAAATGAATTGTAAAATAAAGGTTGAGGTCAAGAGTCAGTGACAGCACCGTCTTGAGTTGTTTGAAACTGATAAAGTTCAATCTGTTTTAATATTTGGACACATTTTTTGTGGTTTGTGCTATCATTTGCTCCTTTATTATCTGCGATCACTTCTTTTTTGAGAAATAGATTATTTAGGCCTTTTATTTCAGCACAGATATTGTAATTTCAAAAAAGCAGATAGCCACAAACTACTGATAGAGATTTATATAATAATCATCATCAGCATCTGTATAATTGTTCAAATGCATTAAAGAAAAACTTTACTTATCAAGTTAGACGTGCAAATGAAGCCAACAGTATTTATTGTCTTGAGAAAACTTTGTTAAGCAAGAAACCGAGGTTTCATTCAGACACAGAGTTGAACAGTGTGAATATTTTAATCCCATGAGGAGATTTAAACAGATTATCTGATCTGTGACAGATGGAGCTGTTTAATCACACATGTATGGGGTGCCGTTTGTAAAGTTACAATCAAAAATTAACAGCAATATTTTGGTTTATTTAGACTTCCATAAGAAAAAATATAGATTTTAACCATGTTATTTATACATTTATAAATGTCATTGTTCCAAACTAAATATTAAATTTACAAGCTAAATATTTAATTTACAAACTAAATACTTAACTTGCAAGGTAAATATTTAGTTATCAAGCTAAATATTTAACTCCATGCCAAATATTTAGTTTACAAACTCAATGATTATGGCCAAGCTAAATGTTTAATTTACAACTAAATATTTAACAAGCAAGTAAATATTAAGTTTGTGAACTAAATATTTAGGTGTAAATTAAATATTCAATTTCTAAGCTAAATATTTATTTTCAAAATTAAACATTTAATTTCTAAGCTAATCATTTAATTCCTAAGCTAAATATTTAATTAGTAAATTAAATATTTACCTCTGACCTAAATATTTATTTTTCAAGCTAAACATTTAATTTCCAAAATCAATATTTAATTTGCTCACTAAATATTTAGCTTGGACCTAAATATTTAACTTGCTAGCTAAATATGTAACTTACAAGTTAATTTTTTTACAAGTTTACAAATACTTACAAGTTAAATATTTAGGTCTGAGCTAAATATTTAGTTAGCAAATTAAATGTTTAGTTTAGAAATTAAATGTTTAGCTTAGAAATTAAATGTTTAGTTTGGAAAATAAATGTTTAGATTTGAAAATTTATATTTAGCTTTGAAACTAAATGTTTAATTTACACAAATATTTAGTTCACCAACTAAATATTTAACTTGCAAGTTAAATATTTAGTTTGTAAATTAAACATTTAACTTGGACATAAACATTTAGTTTGTAAACTAAATAGTTAGTGTGGACTGTGGAGCTAAATATTTAGTTTTTAAAGTAAATATTTAACTTGAAAGCTAAATATGTACTTTGTAAACTATGTTTTTAACTTTGTAAAATAAATATTTAGTATGGAACTATGACATTTATAAATGTATGAATAACATGGTGCAAATATGACTTTGAAAAATTTTTTTTTTTAAATTCTTATAAAAGGTAAATAAACCAAAATAATGCTGTTAATTTTTGACTGTGTAATGTTACAAATGGCACCCCATACACATGTTTGTTAATAATGTCAAAGACCTGAACACTTACAGTAGATCACAGAACATTTAGAACATTTAATACATTTTAACAGACATTTGGGCTATTTTTTTTCTTATCTGCAGTCACAAACCAACATGTTTTCTTTAATTATTGTCATATTTAACAGATGTGTTTCACATGAAACTTGAAGTTGACCTATTTAGTCAATAAAACCGTCAAGCAGCCTCAAAGAGTGTTAAAACCTAAGTGTTGTTGCCCAGGTATAAAATGAGGCTTTTCGTTTTGTGAAGAAGACTTCCTGTTTTAATGAACGTGTTCTCACTCACCTGTCCAGGTAACGCAGCTGTGGTGAAGCCCTCAGAAGTCTGTGATTACACTGCCAAGGTCATGGAGGAGCTGCTGTCAGTTTATATTGATAAAGTAAGAGCGGGACGCAAAACCCCAAGAAACTTTAAAGTGTTAACACTGTCAGCAGATGTTTAAATATCTCGTTGAACCTGATGGTGTGAATTTTCTTTTGCTTCAGGAGCTTTATCCTGTAGTGTCCGGAGGAGTCCCAGAGACTCAAGAGCTTCTGCGACAGCGATTTGATCACATTTTCTACACCGGCAACAGCACGGTGGGCAAAGTGATTATGGAGGCCGCCGCCAAACACCTGACACCTGTCACCCTGGAGCTGGGCGGCAAGAGCCCCTGCTACATCGACAAGAACTGCGACATAGGCATAGCCTGCAGGTCAGAACCATGGGTGGTACTGCTTACCTAACGTTTTAGATTTATTCATTCTTTTATAGCTGTTTGTATCCACCGCATTTCTTATTTTCCTTCTATTAATTTTTACTCTACTGTTCAGACGGATCGCCTGGGGGAAATACACCAACTGTGGTCAGACGTGCATTGCCCCAGACTACATCCTCTGTGAACCCTGCATTCAAGACCGAGTCATTGAGGAGGTCAAGAAGTCCATTAAGGTACTGAAAGCTCAGCTCCAAGTCATGACTCATGACAGGGTCATGATGCGTTTACTCGACTGGAAAGGTTTGTCTTAGATGTCAAAAAACGAGGGTTTACAGAGCTCTTTGGTGTTGGGAAGTGTTTAGTTTTCTATACTCTCAATTGTTTTTGCAGGAATTTTACACAGACAACCCAAAGACGTGTCATGACTATGGACGCATCATCAACCAGCGCCATTTTAAACGCATCATGACCTTGTTGGAGGACAGCTCAGTCACTTTCGGAGGAGAAAACGATGAGTCGAACTGCTACATTGGTAAAACATCAGCCTACGTTTCATATGAAAACTGACATCTCATTTGGAGATAGTCTTCAGTGGAGTTTTTTCTTCCTAATGAGAGAAGCTGTGTTTTTGTGTTGCGTTCAGCTCCCACAGTCCTGCGGGATGTAAAGCCAGAGGCAAAGGTGATGCAGGAGGAGATATTTGGACCTCTGCTTCCCATCGTGCCCATCAGTGGTCTGGATGAAGCAATCGCGTTCATAAATAAAGGAGAGAAACCTCTGGCTCTGTACACCTTCTCATCAAATGATAAGGTACGAGCTGCTGGCGCACATGCAGAGCAAACAGGTGATGACCGGCACTAAGAGGTTTTTCTCTGCAGGTAATAAACAGAATGAGAGATGAGACTTCCAGTGGAGGATTCTTGGCCAACGACTGTCTTGTTCACTTTTCTGTCAGCTCGTTGCCTTTTGGAGGAGTTGGTGAGCCCACAGAAACTGCACGGCTTAAAAACTGTATACTCATTTACCATATTTTCCGCTGTACAAGTCGCACCGCCGTATAAGTCGCATCAGTCCAAAAATGTCTAATAAAGTGAAAAAAAAACATTAAAAAGTCACTTTGCCGTACAAGTCGCGTCTATTATGCATCATCGCTGACCACCCGGAAACGTGGGCCAGTCTTGTGCCAAAAATCGATTGGCTGCCAAAATGGCAGCCGCAGGAGCGTGCACGGGAGGACTTTAACAAAAATTTAACAAGGATAACACATAACAATTATTTGTTTGCTCGAAATTATAGCAAAGATGTGTCTCAGTTGAACTTTTCCTTAATGAATGCAATTTAATGGTCACATCAGCTGCATTTCAAAAATCGATGTTCAGCTGCTGGAGCGCGCAGAGGGAGGACTCGCTGTGCATTTCTTTGAAATTTAACAAGATAACCACCTAAAAACAATTATTTGTTTGCTCGACAATATAATAGAGTTGTGTCTCAGTTGAACTTTTCCTTAATAAATTCACTTTACTGGTCAAATCAGCTGCATTTCACCTGGGCGGCGCGGTGAAATGCAGCTGATCTGACGTTTGCTCCAGGAGTTCCGGAGCGAGATGAAGGTGGCTTGGTATGGCAAGCCAAGTGTCTCATTAATAGCCACTTTTACCTGTTAATGAGACACTTGGCTTGCCATAATGCTTGAGGGCCCTTTATTGGCTGAAATTGGTAATGTTTAATATTATTCACGTCAGAATGAATAAAATTGTCATATCTCAGCAAAAATTGGGTTATAATATGGGAAAAATGTATTAATTCAACTAGGGCTGCAACTAACGATTAATTCAATAATCGATTCATCGGCCAATTATTTTTTCGATTAATCGATGAATCGGCAAAAAAACCCACAACGTTTTAATTTTCACCCCTTTATTCCAAAATTGAACATTTGACTGACATAGCAATTCACACAAAAAACAGGTTGCTATTTACTATTCTGTTAGTAAAATATTGAATAATAAAAAATAAAAGTTAGTCAAATAGTTTAAAAAAACAAATGTACACAAAAATATATACAAATGTGTCTTTATACCTGCACAATATGTAGCTACTTTGTAAAATGTGTCATTGAGGGAAGAGTGTAACCTGGATTAAAAGTGTGGATTATTTTAACCTGGATTAAAAGTGGATCATTGTAGTGAAGCCTTCGTCTTCAACCATCAACAGAGGCCTCATGTCAGTAACAATCATGTTCAGGATGTTTCAGTGAAGACAGCTGCTGCTGTGGTGTCCATGATGTCTGTCCATCATGAAGGATGTTGTTGTTTGTTGTTGTTTTCTGGAATGAGAGAGTAAATATGTTTTATAGCATAATTTACAGCAACTCAAGAAATGCCTTGTTTCACTTACAGTGTTAGGTTCAGGCAAAAGTAGCTAAAAGAGCAATTAAACACACACACACACATATATATAAAATACTTAATTACACACATTTCAGTAGATGTAATAAATTACTTTAATTCCTGTTTAAATGCAATTCATCCTGCCATACATGCAGTGTCTTCAGCCTTTGCCAGCAAATTAAAAGTTGAAGCTTAATCATTAAATTATTATCTTTGTGTTAGATTTATTTATAAATCACATTTAAACACTGCTTGTTCCAATTAAATTAAATAAAAAGTAACACACGTTCTCTATCACCGTCATTAATCAGATAAACAAACAAACAAACAGCACCTTCAGCTAAAGACAGACTGACGTTACGTTTTCTCTCTTGAAACAGAACAATGTGTTAAATTGTAGAGACTCACCTGCAACACATGAGTTGGGAGTGAGACATGTTGTATCAGCTGCAGCTCCTTCCTCCTTCTCGTGACTCCGACATGTTTACGTTTATCTCCGTGGTTCTCTCGTGTCGTGTCGGTGATTTTCAAAGCGACATGCTTCTCATGTTTTATCTTTGTGAAGTTCTCCCACTCTTTGGAGGACTTGGGTCGAACAGTTTTCGCTGCGTCGGTCATTTGTAAAATTTACTTAAATTTCCTTTGAAAACACCGCCACTGCTCCGCCTCCCCCCTCGCTCTGTTCAACTCGCGCTGCAGTTTTTTTTTTTTTTACTTTATTCAGTCAGTCAGCATTGACAATGAACTGCCCGTGAACAAAACGAAATGGCTCCGCAGCGCTGTGAAAGACGCATAATCGCGCGACACAACGAATCGATAACGAAATTCGTTGCCAACGCTTTTAATCATCAATTTTTATCGATTTTATCGATTCGTTGTTGCAGCCCTAAATTCAACCTTTATTTATACAGGTTAATCCCACTGAGCCTCTGGGACTTATTTACAAGAGAGGCCTGATTTCTTTAACAAAGAGTGATGACAACAGTGGATAACAACGACAGCAATAGGCAATCACAAAAGAGGCATACAAATTTAAAAAATTTTTGTTTGTTTGTTTTTTTTTTTGTTTTTTTTTTGTATATTAGTTGTTTTGGTGTATAAGTCGCAGGATTTACAAATTTATGCAAAAAGGTGCAACTTATATGGCGAAAAATACAGTACAATACAGATCAAAAGTATTTGCAGGTAATTTGAAGTGCAGGGTGTTAGGGTGCCCTCTAGTGTCACATTGTGGCAAAAATAAAAAAACTTTATTTGTACAATGTCAAAAAGAAGAGATTGAAAACTATGGCACTAGTTGTACTAATCAAAACATGACTTATAAATAACTAAACCGCTGAATTTTGATTGTTTAACTCCACAAACCTCAAAACCAGTTCATCCCTGATACGCCATATATTCCAGCCTGTTTTCTTTCTTCTGACATGTCAGCTTTGATATGTTTTAGCCCATAAAGTCCTCAATTATTAGACCCCCAGATCAAAAGGCTTTAGGACAACGCAAACACTTAAAAAAGCATTAATAGCTTTAGAGATATTGTGCTCCTTGTTTTAGGTTATTTAAAAGCACTGAACATGAAACCAAGTGCTTTCTTTCATAGGAAACAGCGGTATGGGCTGTTATCACGGCAAGTACAGCTTCGACCAGCTCAGCCACCTGCGCAGCTGCCTCATCAAACAGCTGAAAATGGAGGGAGTGAACAACATGCGGTACCCGCCTCACACGCCTAAAAAACTGGGCTGGGCGCGATTCTTCATCCTGAAGACCTTCAACCTGGGCTGGGCGGGTCGGATGATGCTGTTGGCTGTGCTGGCTGTGGTGGGCGCTGTCGTGCTACAGGTGAGAGAATAAAACTGAACAGTCTCTACTGTTTTAACAACACAAACGTGCACATACTACAAAAAATAAATAAATCTGCAGGTCTCAGAAAGTAAATAATAAGTGGGGTTGTTTGTTCCAAGACTTTGATAGCACAAATGTGAGGTCTAAAATAGTTTAAAGTCATACTGTCTCATTTAAATGACATACATTTTAAACGTATCTTAACTCCTTCAATACTGAGAAACTTCTCTTCTTTTTAAACTCTTTACAGCGTAAAAAGCTGAAACTGACAAATAAACTGTTAGCTTCAGTCACGCCACATGACTGAAGACTTCAGTGTGGAACGCAGCTGTTTTCTGCACAGACGTCTTCCAGCACGCTGCTGCTTTTCGCTCGAGTGCGTCAAAGGGAAATGATACATCGTCACTCAACTGCAGCAATATTTCGTTAATATTGTATTTTATGTTTTTAAAATGAAATGAGCATTGCCATGATGCCATGATCAGTAACAGCAAGGACTAAAATATAGCTCTCGAGCTGTAGTTCTTACACTTGAACTAAAACTCTTTTTTTTAATTCTTCTTCGGCTGCTCCCTTCTTTAGGGGTCGCCACAGCGAACTAAGTCGCACAAAGATTTGGCAATTATTTTTACGCCGGATGCTCTTGCTGACACAACCACAGACACCGAGCTACCACAGCCCTCTGTGTGGAGCAGAGAGCTGCTATCTAGAGCACCCAGGGGAGCAGAGGTGGGGGTTAAGGGCCTTGCTCAAGGGCACAGAGTGGGGCAAATGAGGGTGGAGGCAGGTGTGGGTGCTTTAACTATCCCACCCACATTTTTTTATGTTGTCAGTACCGGGAATTGAACCAGCGATCTTCCGATCACAGGCCCACCTTCTCTAACCTCTGCACCACTCCCCTACACTTTTAACTAAAACTGTAAATAAAAAAAAAAGTGAGATTTTTACCAATCTGTTGTTTCTGAAAAAACTTCCATCTACAGCTTTAAGAAAACATGGCAAGGCTTAAAACTTGTATTCATAGTTGCCACGTCTGCTTATTATAAGCGACTTTGGGCTTGTTTTTTTTTCTAAAGTCGCGGGTTGTGGTTTTTGTTGGGCTTGTTTGAACTTGAAGTTGTTTCTTTGGGCTGGACTTTCTTTCCGGGTGAAACTAGTTGATTATCTCCCAGCTCCACACATTAAAGCAAAAGACGAGCGGTTGTACGTAGTTTGTCTCTTCCATGCCCCCGTTTCCTGTTTATCGCTCCTGCCCAAGTTGACGGGGCGACAGGCGCACACATAGACATACATAGACATATACCGATACGTCTGTGGGCACGCACCCCAAACACTCATGCTGTGGCCGACCAGTAGGTGGCTCTACTCACCCGCAGATGTTTTGTTTTTAAAAATATGTAGAAAAAATTACATATGCAAAATGTATTTTTTTTATCAGAGCTTGAAAGTTTGTTATTCAAAGTGTTTATCATATTTTTGCTGTTGTTTATGTGTAATGGCTTAATAAATATATGTTTATACTGTTTTACACAACGTGGTGGGTTGCCAGTTGGGCTTGTTTTGGGCTTGTTTTCATAGAGCTGGTTGCTTGTTTCTATTGCGAGATCTGGCAACACTGTGACAAAAATGTTAATATTAAAGTAAAATATTATTTAGGAATTGGTTAGTTTCCATGTCATAATCTTTTGTAACCTATTTCAGAGAACTTGTAAAGTCTTCTTTGCCCCATTATATATATAAATCTACACTGAGCAAAAATATAAACGCAACACTTTTGATTTTTCACCCATTTTTCATTAGCTGTTGTGCCTTAGGCTGACCACAATAAAAGGCCACTCTAAAATGTGCAGTTTTATTACACAGCACAATGCCACAGATGTTGCAAGTTTAGAGGGAGCATGCAATTGGCATGCTGACTGCAGGGATGTCCTCCAGAGCTGTTGCCCATGAATTGAATGTTCATTTCTCCACCATAAGCCTTCACCAAAGGTGTTTCAGAGAATTTGGCCTTACAACTGCAGACCATGTGTAACCACACCAGCCCAGAACCTTCACCTCCAAGATCGTCTGAGACCAGCCACCTGGACAGCTGCTCCAACAGTCATTTGCATATCCAAAGAATTTCTGTACAGACTGTCAGAAACTGTCTCGGGGAAGCTCATCTGCATGCTCCTCATCCTCGTCGGGGTCTCCACCTCACTGCAATTTGTTGCTGTAACCGAACAGAATGGGCAAATGCTCACATTTGTATGTCACGTTGGAGAGGTGTTCTCTTCATGGAAGAATCCTGTTTTACTGCTCAGTAAATGGTAAATGGACTGTACTGACATAGCACCTTTCTATCTTACCAAGATACTCAGAGCGCTTTACACTACAATCTGTGCCCTCATTTACCCATTCATACAGCACTCTACTAGAGCTAAACAAAGAATAATCAGTGTTTTATCACATTTATACAACAATGGGACACACATCGAAGGCAATGGAGGGGCTCATTGTCTTGCCCAGGGACACTTCAGCATGTGACTGCTGGTGGAGTCGAACCCCCAACTCTTGCACTGGAGGACAAATGCTCTAACCACTCAGCTACAGCTGCCCTGGGTAGCAACTGTACTGGGCAGATGGCAGACGGCGTGTATGGCGTTGTGTGGGTGAGCTCATGTCAACGTTGTGAATCAAGTGGCCCATAGAAGCAGTGGGGTTATGGTATGGGAGTATGTTATGGACAACGAACAGGTGCATTTTACTGATGGCATTTTGAATGCACAGAGATACCGTGACGAGATCCTGAGGCCCGTTGTGCTATTCATCCACGACCATCACCTCATGTTGCAGCATGATAATGCACGGCCCTGGATCTGTACACAATTCATGGAAGCTGAAATCATCCCAGTTCTTGCATGTCCAGTATACTCACCAGACATGTCACCCATTGAGCATGTTTGGGATGCTCTAGGTCAGCGTATCTGGCAGCGTGTTCCAGTTCCTGACAGTATCCAGTTGATGAGGAGTGAACCAACATTCCACAAGAGACAACAACCTGATCAGCTCTAAGCAAAGATGTGTGAAGCAAACGGTGGTCACACCAGATGATGTCTTTGTTGTGCACTGTCATCATCATTCTTTATTAAAACCAGGTCTTTCTTGTAAATGAGTCCCCGAGGCTCAATGGGACTAACCTGTATGAATAAAGGTTGAACTGGTTTTCTGAACTCCCCGGAGTCTACATCTGTACTTCCTGTCAGGATGATGGTACAAAATAAAAATTACATCAGATAAACAACTACCAAAGACACGACTGATAGAATTACATATTTATAGTATTCATTTAATTTAAACGATCCTAGGTAAAAAAAAAATGTTTTTTTAAAGAAAGTGGTATCGTAGCTGATGTGAAACCATAAAATGATTTGTAAACTTTGATCAAATCATCTCTCGTCTGTTTCCTAACGCTGTGAACTAAATGTTTTTTCAACCATATTCTCTTTTGTCGTAATTGTATGAAAGCAGACCAAATAAAAAAACTATAATTAAATATTTTCCCCCCCCCTCAGAAAATTCTCAGCTGAAGACAGTTTTCTCCATCGCACATCCGTCTTGTCATCTTCACGCTGCCCGAGAGGAGGAAGAGGCAGCAAATCATAATCACCATCTTCAACAATGTATTCGACTGCAGCTTTTATCCATTTAACACTTCTATATTAATGTTTAAAGTGTCACGTAGCACAGATGGAGCTTATTTCTATGAAGAGAATGTTTTAATCTGTAACTCCGCATCACATTTCAACCTGTAGGATCAGGTTTATGGACCTAAACAAGATTTTATGCACTTTTAATCGAATCTAGAGTTTTATTAAACTAAATCTGTTTATTTACTGTAGTTTTACAGTAATACGTCGGGTTTAAAGAACTGTGAATGTTTTCACAAAGGGATGGAGAATGAAGTTCGTTCATTTCAACAATGATTCTGATTTTAATGTGTCTACAGCTCATTTCAATCCCGTCCTGAGCCGCTCGTATTTCAGACGTTTGTTTTACATCTGAAACGTTGTGGTCCCCGAAATCATCTCAAAATCAAAAAGGTTTATATGAAGGTTGTTTTATTTTATTTTATTAATCCTGGAAAGTTTTCTATGATTAGTTTAATTATGTAACACGTATTAATTTATCGCGTCTTTAACATTTCAAGATTTTGTTACTTTTAATTATAGAAATATGCATGTATCAATAACTAATGTGAAAATAAAATAATTTCTATTTGTATAAGTGTGACTTTTTATTGTGTTTTTAATATCAGTGTTGTTCTAAAATGTATTTTCCTCATTGGTTGGTTAAGTCCAACAAATGTTTTTGTAAATAAAACTAAAAATAATTGTATTAGGTCACTGCAAATTTTAGAGATTTTATTGGGATTGGACTTCCAGTATAATTATTGTTCTTCTAATTTTTATGTTTATATTTAGCTGAGTGAAGGTCTTTGTGATGGTTTTGTGTTTTCATGGTTTCAGGTCCTGTCTAGTGTTTTACCCCAGGTGTTTGTAATCTGCTGACATTTATGTCTGCATTCTTGGGTTCCAAATTCATTAAATCATGCCACACTGTAAGTGCACACCGCAGAAAGTCTTTTCAATCAAACAGAAGGCAAAAGTTTTATTTTGGCAGAAAACAGATTGATCCCTATGTGATAAGAGCCTCATGCACATACAATTATTATTGTGACAAAAACAGATGCTTTACCGAGCTTGATTCAGGGAACAACACTAAAATGAAAACATTAAGAGCTCCAGGTCTTTTCTCATAATAACTCGTAACAACTCAAATTAACCTTGTTTTCCTTTGACCAACACACACTCATACACACTTTTAATCACTCTGCTGACCTTCTCCCTCCCTCCCTGAATTGCTGCTCCGAGTCGGCAGGGGACAGTTAGTCCATGAGGACCTCCTTGAGTCCCTTCGCTGCTCCCAGTCATGGGTTTTTGTCTCTACCTCCTGACTCTGCTTCTTCTGCTCTGTCTGTGCACAGGTAGGTCACACACCACTGATAGCTGTGTTGGGTTTTGTTTATCATTCAAAGAGGTCAATAAGACAATAGGAACTCATTAATGTGACTAATAATGCCTGAAGTTAGTTAATTAATGGTTGCTCACCTGTGGAAGACACAGGCTTTAAGATCATTAACCAAAGTGGAGACGTGGAAGAATTAACACACAAGATTTGCTTTGGTCTTGTATCCTATGGATTAAATAATCAATTTGGAAATATTTAAAACAATACTAACTTTTCCCAGCCAGCAGGTTACAGGGTGTGTAACTCAAAAATGTGATCTAGGATTACAGATTTCAACACGTTTTGAGGATTTTAATGAAAAAAAAATAAACTGCTTATCAGGATAGCTGAAAAAAAAAAAGATAAATGTCAAAATATTCAGAAAAGGGACATTTTTATTGTTGCTTGCTCAGAAATATTTGTCAAAACTCAGTTATTGGTGGCTTGTGGTGTTGATTTACTATTTGTAAAAAGAACAATTTACAAAACAACTCTTTAAAATCTAAAATTCACAGATTTAAGTTGTAAATTTATTTCAGAGTGGGTGAGAATAACATGAAAACGGCTTCGGGAGGGGGTAAAGCTTATGTAACTTGTTTTTTTTTTCTAACTGTGTACCTCAGCTGTTTGAGCCAGGTGGAGTAAAGCCAGCCTCCACCTGGCCTTTGTTCTCACCTGGTGAGAACTGCTGTCCCCTGTTCAAAGGACGGCATTGTTGGAAACAGCTGGCCTAATCTGTATTCCTATATTAGCTAAATGGTCCTCTGGCAGCTTTCATTCCCACCACAGAGTCAGACCCCAGAGGTTCGTTCACACCAGCGACACAATACACACCTGCAGCAGCACACTGCGTGACATCATCAGCACCTGATGGAGCAGCAAGTTCAATGCACCTGATCCACTTTACACTGAACATAATCAGTGAAATGACAACTGAATGTAAACTCAATTTTAAAATAATAGCTTTTACTTTATTTTGTTAAATAAATACGCCAGATTTTTTTGACGTGTACTTTGCTCATCCATTTTAGCCATTTTTTTTTTCCTTCTCTGTAAGCATCTGAAAGAGTGATGGGCTGAAATGCTGAGCTGTGTAAATCAACAAAGAGTTTTGATGTATTTAATGTTAGTTCACAGTTTGATGTCTAATTCTTAAATTTATTTCTGTTTAATCATTTTATTGACTTTAAAGGAATGGTTCAAATGTTTTTACGTGGGGGTCGGTGGAGGTTAATATTTTTTCTGATGTAGATAGCTCTTTAAACAACCTCAGTTTAGAGAAATAGTTTATTTCTGACTTGATTGTCTGAGTGAGACCAAGACCAAAGAGGATTGTTGCCATCTTGAAATTCTAATCTAAAAAAATTAACAGTGGTTCACACACAAATGCTACTAGACAAAAGAAAAGTAAAATAGCATCAACAGAGAGTGAACGTGAACTCATTTATTAGTAATTTATTAGCTACAGAAAGATGCTTGTTTGGCACAAATAAAAACATTTCTTAGACAGAACTGCAACGCTGTATATGTCTGCTGATCTAAACCAAGTTGTGCTTTCTCCTTCAGCTCAGTGGTGTTACCAGAAACAGAACTGTGATGACACGTGTGAAGGTAAGACCAGGTGATGATCCCATTAAGAGTTTTAAGGGACAAAGTCAAACTTAAAATAAAGCGCAAATAGCCTAAAACCTAAACATTAATATTTGTTTAACCCAAGCGTCAAAACAGAGATTACTTAAAGCTGAAATAATTAGATCCTTGAAATTAAACTGTATTAGCTGTGGAAAAAAGAGACACTACAACATTGAGTATTTTATAAATAACTACAGTGAAATATTACTGGATTCTTGTTTTCAGGATAGCTGTTTGATGCACATCTGTCGCTTTTGTAGCAGCACCAAGTTCCTAAAATGATCTGAAAAGATACATGAGCAAAATTAAATGGCTGCATTGAAGCGTTTAGAGATGGAAAATAAAGCCAAACATTTGTCTTAGCAGAAGAAACCAAAAATAGAAGTATAGAGGGAGTTGATCATAAATCTGTCTCAAATTAAAGCCGTATGTTATATGTGTTCAGTGGATGGGAAGATGTTCACTGATGTGTTTGTTAATCATCATAACTGGGGACTGCCTAGAAAGGCAGCCACCTATTATTATCCACCTGACAAGGGTCTTGCTCTTCTATCAACCTTCATGCGGCCCGAACCACAATGCGTGCCCCCACAAATGTTATATCTAAACGACCAGCTCGGCACCGTGATGTGTGCTGTTACTTTTGTTGGCATTTTGAGTTACCATGTTCACGTAGGTTGCAAACAAAGACACAATTTTTCTCAATGACTCATATAAACACATATAAAACGCATGTAAAATGTGTGGGAGTAGACATTGCAGTTCGGGTGCATTAAAGATGAAAGAAGAATTCTTTTCGTATGTGGCTGCCCAGGCAGTCCCCAAATTATTGTATTGTTCAGATTTTAAATTCATATAATTACATAAAACTGGGCAGAAATACTGTTTAGACTAGTATATTCTACTGTAGTTATCAATTTAAATATTATTCAAATTAATGTTCTTTTGGTCAATGCTACAAAGACCCAGACAGACTGAAGACCTGCATGTGGCCCCAGAACCACAGACTGGAGACCCCTGAGTTGGACAAAAGAGACAAGTGCTGGAAAAATGAGTCTGAATGAGCAGCTCTGTCATCCATCCATCCATTTTCTTTACCCGCTTATTCCATTTTGGGTCACGGGGGTCGCTGGTGCCCATGTCCAGCAATCACTGTGCGAGGGGCGGGGTACACCCTGGACGGGTCGCAAGTCCATCACAGGGCCACATAGAGACAAACGAGACAAACAAACATTCACTCTCTCACTCACACCTAGGGACCATTTAGAGTTACCAATCAGCCTAACATGCATGTTTTTGGACTGTTGGAGGAAACCGGAGTACCCGGAGAAAACAGCTCTGTCATGAAAAAAGTAAAAAACATACATTTTTGCCACAACTGAGATGGAAAAAACGAGTCCATATAGACACTATATAGCCATTCCAATAACTAAAATGGCATATAATCTTCCAATCAACCTTTAAATCCCCATATTCTAACAGGTATGTCTTCAGCAGTGATGGCATAGTTACATTGAAAAAGTAACTTAATTAAGTTACTGATTAGTCCATGAAAAAAGTAACTTAGTTAAGTTACTGATTACTTGATTTGGAAAGTAACCAAGTTAGTTACTTTATTAGTTACTTTTTGTGTCTGTGTGAATGATGTGTGAATGATGTGTGAATGATGTGCTCCTGCGAATCCCCCTAAAATAACATACAATCATACCCATTGTGACTCTTTTTTCTAGCATGTCACAAATAACTGTTAAAATTTGTTGTTCTTTGTTTTGTTTAGATCCAAGCCGTTGGGTTGTGCAGTTTCCCAGATGCGGAGGATCACACCAGTCTCCAGTTAACATCATCACCAGGAAAGTGCAGGTCAATAGTTCCCTGCCTCCTTTTAACTTCACTGGACACACCAACAAAATCAACATTACAGTGAAAAATACTGGCCACTATGGTAATAAAAACACAGCAGACTGACCTGATCTCCTCTTCAGACGTTGTCTTCTTACCTGTAGAACACCTGGCTGATTCAGACCGTGTCTCTTTTTTAATCTTGCAGCTCACTTTGGTCTGCCACAGTCGGTAGGACTAACTAGAGGAGGTCTGCCAGGTCACTACAGAGCATCCCACTTTCACTTCCACTGGGGAGGGAGTGGGAGACCAGGATCAGAGCACACCATTGATGGAGAAAGATTTCCCATGGAGGTACAGGACCTTACATCTGACTGAAAACATGAAAGTGTTGCAGAACAGGCTCTTGTAAAGTGGGACAGATTGTACATCTTTTATCTATTTCTTTTATTTATATATTTTTAATTTTTTCATTTCATTTACCCGGTTAGCCTTCCTTCTGTGCATCAGCATTTATGTCCAGATTCCATCCATCCATTTTCCTCCACTTGATCCTGGCAGGGGCCAGCAGCTTGAGCAGGGAGGCCCAGACATCTCTCTCCCCAGCCACCTCTTCCAGCTCTTCTGGGAGGATTCCAAGGTATTTCCAGGCTAGCCAAGAGACATAGTCTCTCCAGCATGTCCCGGGTCTTCTCCAGGGTCCCCTTCCAGTTGAACATGCTTAAAGCACCTCCCTATGGAGGCACTCAGGGGGCATCCTTAGATGCCCGAACCACCTCAACTGGCTCCTCTTGATGTGGAGAACCAGCAGTTCTATTCTAAGTCTCTCCCGGATAACTGAACTTCTCACCCTAGCTTTACGGGAGAGTCCAGCTACCCTGCGGTAGAAACTAATTTCAAACGCCTGTATCTTCAATCTTGTTCTTTCGATCAGTACCCAAAGGTTGTGACCATAGGTGAGGGTAGGAACATATACTGATCAGTAAATGAGCTTTGTCTTACAGCTCAGCTCCCCCTTCACCAAAACAGGCCAGCAGAGAGTCCTCAATACTTCAGGAGCTTTACTAATCTGTATGTCAATCTCACGCTCCGTTCTTCCCTCACTTGTGAACAAAATCCTGAGATACTTGAACTCCTCCACTTGAGGCAGAACCTCACCCTCGACCCAAAGAGAACAGTCCACCCTTTTCCGACTGAGGACCATGGCCTCGGATTTGGAGGTGCTGTTCCTCATCCCAGCTGCTTCAAACTATACTGCAAACCGCTCCAGTGAGAGCTGAGGATCACAGCACGATGATGCCAACCAGACCACATCATCTGCAAATAGCAGAGATAGAATCCTGAGGTCACTGAACTGGACTTCCTCCACCCCCTGGCTGCACAGAGAAATTCTGTCCATAAACCTTAAGAACAGAATCAATAACAACAGGCAGCCCTGGTGTAGTCCAACTCCCACCCTGAAGGGATCTGACTAACTACCGACAATGCAAACCAAACTTTTGCACCGCTTGTAAAGGGACTGAATGACTCGTAAAAACAGACCTAATCCTTGCGTAACACCTCCATAGCATTTTTCACGTCCACAAAACACATGTAGACTGGCTGGGAAAACTCCCACACTCCCTTGAGAACCCTAGTGAGGGTATAAAGCTGATCCAGTGTTTCTTGGCCAGGACAGAACCCGCATTGTTCCTCCTGAATCTGAGATTCGACCATCGATCGGACTCGCTTCTCCAGTACCCCTGAATAGACCTTATCAGGGACGCTAAGGAGAGTGATGCCCATATAATTGGAGCACACCTTCCAATCCCTCTTTTTGAAGAGGAAAACCACCACCCAGTCTGCCAATCCAGTGGCATTGCCCTTGATGTCCACGTGATGTTGCAATGGCATCAACTAAGACAGCCCAGCAACACTGGCTCCCCACAACTTGATGATTCCTTCTTTCAGCTCTTGGTATTCCTCAAGCTTCACGTGCTCCTTCTTTCTTATGTTGAAGTCACTTGAGATTGCTACATCCATCACCACAGTCTTCTTCAATAGCTTATCAATAATGTATGGTTGGTTATACATCTAGGCCTTCATGTATTTTTTTTTCAAAGTACAATAGTTCTCCAGGCTTTCTTAAGGTCATTGACTGCTTCAATTTCTCACTTCCTAATTTACAGCAAAACTGAATACAGAATGGCAATCATAAAATAAAGAGTAGATCATTCAGGTCAGGACAGGAGATTCAGGTCTTTTTTGTAAATAAAGTCCCTGAGGCTTAATGGGATTAACCTGTATACTGTAAATAAAGATTGAATGAAAAGACCATTTGAATGTACAGCATTTACAGGGAATTTTAATTAAAAGACAAAAACTGATTACCAGTAAGAATGGAAAATTAAAGTATGTGTTGGAAACAACAGGTCTGTGTTATATTCTACGAGGTGTAGCATTGATCTTACATATTTGAAGCTCTTATTCCTTTTTTTTATCCAGCTTCACATAGTCCATATCAAAGAGCCATACCACTCTCTGGCAGAAGCAGAACATGACACAGCAGGTATAGCTCTGCTTGCCTTCCTGTTTGAGGTAAGACATGGTTTCAAATTTATGACTTCACAAGGACTGATAAAATATGCATAACCATTAAAGATGTCTATGGTGCTCTTATAGGAAACAGCAGCTGATCATCCACATTTGGACACAATAATATATGCGCTGGGTCAGGTAAAAAACAATGGTGTGTATTTTACTTTTGCAACATTTGGCACGAGTAACATCAGTATGAGTTTAGAGTATGGAGCTTGAATCTGTTGAAATTGTAAAATGTGCTAACCTTAGTTTATTTGGTTTACTTCTCTTTTGTTGTGTCAAGGCAGCAACATGGTGATCCCAAACTTCAGACTCAGCGACATCATTCCAGCAGCCAAAGACCTTCACAGTTACTATCGCTATGTGGGCTCCATGACCACTCCAGGATGTGAGCAGGCAGTTGACTGGACAGTGTTTCATAGGATGCTGTCCATCAGCAGTCGACAGGTGAAAAAACTTCAAATGTTTTAACACCCCCCACCCCCACCCCATCAAATGATTAACCAGATTGCTAGTATATATTTAAGACACATGGAAATTGCAATTAATTTGTTAAAAATCTTTTGACTTCCACCTAGGGTTTACATGATGACAAAAATTTCATACTGAACGTGCTACTGTTTTTGATGGACAATTTTTGTTATACTCTATAAGCAAAAATATTACTTTTATACCCTCACTGTCTTCATTGATTTCTCTTGTCAATTTTCTCTCTCCACTTCAGCTAAATGCAATAGTTGAACAGTGTCGGTTTTGGACAGGACAACCCATGACAGACATCTACAGACCCACACAGCCCCTGGAGGGCAGGATTGTGTACAGCTCCAAGTCGAGCACATCTCAGAAGAGTCTGATTCATATGTGGATTAAAGTTTTATCAGTGATTCTCATGATAATGACTCTAATAAACTAATATAGAAATTGAACATGTGATTTAGGCACCAAAGATAAAAGATAATATAGGTAAGTCAATGTAATCAGTGTGTCATGGTAAAAACAAGAAGTCAACCAGGAAAAGAAAAATCCACTTAGTGTATTTGATGAGTATTATTGAATTATTTTTAATCAAGCAAAAATCTCGAGGTGTTCTCTACATCTAATAAAAAAACATAACAAAGTCAAAATAATCTAGCTGTAAAATACCAGCAGTTTCAAGAAAAGTGAATGTAAATTATCGAACATTCTTGTGTGGGAAAATTGTCTTTACTGATTTTTTTTTACCGACTTCTTTGATTGTCTGAGTTTTTCCTCTAACAACACCATAACATTTGTTTCATATATATATATATATATATATATATATATATATATATATATATATAGCATCAGTCCATGTGCTCCTACATGCTAAACAACTATTATTAGTATGCACAATCTCACTGTATTTCGGTACAGTGATAATAAAGCTTATTCTGATTAGCATACTAATACAATTTCTTTTGAATATTAGTTTGAATTTAAGCGTACCAGATAATATTAGCACGCTATTATTTTTCTCTGATGCCAGTCAAAGATTTTTGTGTGCGAGCTAATATTAGTTTGCTAGTATTACATTTTTTAACATTAGTGTACCACTTTGAGTTTCTGCTAAGTCTAGCATGCTAATGACACATGCTGATAATAATTTTCCTTAATATCAGCATATCACATTAATCTTAGCATGCTAACATTATTTTTGTTTATCATGAGCATTTTGTCAGGCTGCTTGGATGGCTTTAGCATTTAGTTCAATGTGTTGTTTTGTAGCTTTCCACAACTTATAATGTGTAGTTCTAAAACTTTGTCTTTAAATAGTAAAAATTTGGAATTTTCAATCTGAATTAACATACAGCACAGTTTCTTTATAAGTTTGAATATCATTGCATAATGCATAAAGTTTATAGAATTTTTTTTAACCTCAGTTTAGGTGTAGCTTTATGCTAACTTCAATAATGTTTAAGTCTATACAGACTACCGTTGTAGCCTGATAATTAAAAAAAACTGAACATTTAGTTTATATTATTTTCTGACACCTGTTTGTACTGACTATTGAACAAAGTGCCAGATCTGTAAAACATTTCTTAAATGTACAGTATTTTTGATATTCGGGGAAATCAAAATAAGTTGTACGCAAACAGTCTGGGATTTTCTGCAAATCCAACAGCTTCTCTCCATTTCTCTCTACTATGACGTGATGATGCTGTTCAAGCTCCTGCTGCATTGCTTTGTCATGTGATCAACTTGAATGAATGAAAACTGGGAAGATGAGTGACGGCAGACTTGAAACAGTCAACAATAAATTAACAGTACTAACCATATGTGTGTCTTTGTTAGATCATTCTTGTGGCTAATTTTACATTAAAATTGTACTAACACAACAGTCTATGGATTGTTTCAATTAAAAATAATTTAACATTAATTGTATCTGCAAGTAAATACTTGGTTTACACACTACATTTTAAATAAATACCCTTAATCATGAACTTCTGCTGAACCCCATGACTACATACTGGCTACAAATGACAGCAGAAATGTGGCTTTATTATTAACAAGCTTCAAAATGTTGATCATTCCTTGTAGATAGTTTATCTCGATCACTTGTCACTCATCAGGGAGAACACTCTGGGTCAGCCTAACCAAAACCCAAGGCTCCAGCCCGACTTCATGGAGTCTGTAATTCCTGTCCACGTAGACTCACTGATAACACGTTTTATTTCTAGAAATTTCCTTTTCATATTTGACGGTGATAAGACCTTCCATGCATATCATATCCTAAGTCAGTAGTTCTCAAACTGTGGTCCCCGAACACCCAGGGGTCCGTGAGCCGGTATGGAGGTCCATCATGATTCTGTTCAATTTTATGTAATAATTTGAAAAAGTGGCAATACATTTATGTTCATTATGTGAACAGGTAAAGTTTTAAAGTAGGTTTTGATACTGTTTTCTCAAAACTGTAATTTTTGGGAGTTGAAATTAAAAATTTTGGTAATTAAGTTTGTCTTGAACGAAAAATAACCCATGTTTAAAAGTATAAAACCTGTATTAACCCTATTAAAAAAACAAGTATCGAGTATTTGTTACACAAATATTTTCATTGCATTAAAGAGACAAATTGTAGAAAATTATTTAATAAACATGAGGGTTATGAGGGGATCCCTAAAACTTTTTCTCCCCTGTAAGGGGTCTCTGAACCCAAAAACTTTGAGAACCCCTGTCCTAAGTTATTACTGATAATATAACTATTGATATAACAAAAACACGTTCTGCTTTGGCCTAAAAATGGTTACTTCAATGCAAATAATCATCCTCAAAAGGAAAGTCTGTAACGTCACTTAATTTTTTATTTTTTTGCCAGCCATTAAAACGGATTGCGTAAATCTAACAAAGTAAAGTCTGGTCCTCTGGACGGATTCTTCTTGTTGAAATGCCGGCAAAAACAGTAATATGGTGTACGCTGTTCAGTGTCAGGAGGGCTGTGATCAGTCTTACATCGGGGGAAACTAAACAGCCACTAGCCAAAAGGATGGTCCAACACAGAAGAGCAACACCATCAGGCCAGGACTCTGCGGTCTACACTCATCTCCAGGCCAGCGGTCACTCTTTCAGGGATGAAGATATTCACATCCTGGACAGAGAGGAACGATGGTTTGAGAGAGGAGTAAAGGAGGCCATCTTTGTGAAAAGAAATCGTCCATCATTAAACAGGGGTGGAGGCCTCAGGGTTCAACTGTCCCCCTCTTACAATGCTGTTATTACTAGCATCACTCAGCCTTCTGTGAATAGCAAGCAGCCATCAGGGCATTACCAATCAATTGTTAGGCTAATGGTCCTTCTTTATCATGTGAACAGCTAGTTTTGGATGTCACCAGCAAACTGTTTGATCCACTATGAGAAGATGCTGTTTATAAGACTGAGTTTATTGCAGCTCCTCAGACTGAAGAAGTCTTTTGGGTAAAAGATGAAACGTTTCAGCAAAGAAGAATCCGTCCACAGGACCTGACTTTCCTTTGCTATATTTTTCTACATGGATTACTGAGCAAGCATCAGGATACAGTAGTCCCTCGCTACTTCACGGTTTATTTATCGCCGACTCGCTCCATCGCAGCTTGTCAAAATAAGATTGGACATGACACACAATTGGCTGATTGATGGATGAGCCACACGATAGGCATGGGATTTTTATTTAAAATAAATTATTTTAATTATTTAGCACCTCCTGCAGCTTTGTGCAGCCCATACTGCTGCAGGATAAACTTCCTGCTGCAGCTGATCAGCGTGCAGGGCGGAGAAGTGGGCGTGGCCAAGAGCACTTGCAGGTAGCAAAGAGCAGAGGAGGCAGGGAGCTAAAATCATGACATTCTGATTTCTTTCAGAGCATTTAGAGTTTCATTGTTTAGAATATTACAAGAGTGTGGGAAGGCTTTAAAATGCCTTCGTATATATATATATATATATATATATACATATATATATATA